TGGTTCTCGAGTTATGCGTTGGCTTCTTGGAAATTTTCGACATTCGACCTGGAAATCGGCGAAATTTTGCCTTCAATGACCTCTGGTGACCTGACCTTTGACCTGACCAAAAAATTGACCGAAGTGATTTCGTCATTATTTTTTACGCTCTTTCGAACGCCGCCTTCCGCGTATCGCTACGTGGCCCAGGAGCCGAGTTACAAGGGGGGGGGTGTTCAAACACCCCCCCCCCCAGCAGGGCGTGGAAATCCAGGACCCCCAGCGGGCCGCGGGTTAACTCGTTAATACCACCCCAAAGAGTTACATTCTCGGAATCAGCGCATCGAGGATGCCCTGTATACCGATTTTCAGCCAAATCGAAAGACCCTGCCGTTTCCCGTTAAAATGCTAATTGGTTGTTAACTCGTTAACGGTGCAAAATACCACCTCAAAGAAGTACATTTTCGGAATCAGCGCATCAAACAGGCCCTGTATACCAATTTTCAGCTAAATCGAAAGACCCCGCCGTTTCCGGTTAAGATGTTTATTAGCCGTTAACTCGTTAACGGTGCAAATACCACCTCAAAGAAAAGAGGTACCTACATTTTCGGAATCAGCGCATCGAGGAGGCCCTGTACACCGATTTTCAGCTAAATCGAAAGACCCCGCCGTTTCCCGTTAAAATGTTAATTAGTCGTTAACCTCGTTAACGGTGCAAAATACCACCCTAAAGAGGCATATTTTCGGAATCAGCGCATCGAGGAGGCCCTGGATACCGATTTTCAGCCAAATCGAAAGACACCGAAATATGCTGCTGTGAGGCTGATATTCGTTGCTGCTGAATTGACAGACGTCGCCAAAACCTTGCATTTGTATCAGATGCGTCATGTTGGCTTACATGTGACATAGTTTGCATTCTGTTCGCGAACCTGTCAGTAAGATTATCAGCACTAATTATCGCACAGGATTGGTTGTTATGGTCGTCAACGTTGGTTTTAAGTGTCGTCATTTTAGCCAAATATTCGTGCTGATTGGTGGTATTGTGCCAACTGACAAAATGGCGAACAGAGTTGTGCGTTCTGTGGTTCTGTGGTCGTTGACACGCAATATTATGGCCTCAGATTATGGTGATAGAATGCTACATAGGGTGAAGGCTTAGGTTAGGTTTATTTCTGAAGCTTACTGTTGTCTGTCAAACTTTTCATATATGCTTATCTATTTGATAAGCACAGCCCACAGGTATGAAATGTTAAGTGAGAAAACCCAAAAGTACAGTGGCGGATCCGGGGGGGGGGGGGCAAAATGGGCATTTGCCCCTCCCAAACGGCATAATTTAAACATTATGCCTATGGACGAGGCATGGAAAGATTCTATAAGTTGTTATGGTTCCCCCCCCCCCCAAAAAAAAAACTGAGCTGCCCTAGAGAAAAAACCATTAGCAATGGTCTAATGGTCTAATGGTCTATATGGAAATTGAAACCCTAATGGTCTAATGGTCTAATGGTTTGTAGTGGTCTAATGGTCTGATGGACAGATGGGCTAATGGTCTAATGGTCTAATGGTTTCTTATGGGCTAATGGTCTGATGGTCTAATGGTCTAATGGTCTGATGGTCTAATGGTCTGATGGTCTAATGGGCTAGTGGTCTAATGGTCTAATGGTTTCTTATGGCCTAATGGTTTCTTATGGCCTAATGGTTTCTTATGGTCTAATGGTTTCTTATGGTATGATCACCATACCACAAGAAACCATTCGACCATTAGAAACCATTAGGCCATAAGAAACCATTAGACATGTTTTCTGATAGTCTATGGGTTACCAATGGTCTCAATGGTAACAGTGGTTTCTGGTGGTATCTTGTTAAAACATTCATATGGTGAAAATCCGATCTATTAACATTGGCATTCCACATGGTAATACATGACATAACAGTCCCCAGCATTCATTTTTCTCTGCCATGTTCGGTCCCATGCATGTACAGGCACGGATCTTTTTCAGCCGTGTATATTTTCACATTTCAATTTGGAGCCTTGTCTTTTTTCCAATGAAGGTCTAGGAATTTTGTTTCATTACGAATCTGGATTTTTTTCAGTGTATGCTCCGCCTGTGTCTTCCGCCCCTCGCTTCATCATCTGTGTCTGTAGTTAACCTGTAACAAAAGTGCACCTGTGACCTTTACATGGTTGTCTTACTTACCAATTGTTAGTTGAGCTTTACATTTTTTTTTACTTTTTTATACTTTTGATTATTTGATCATAAGTTGAAATTTTCTTATTTTCTATAATTATTTTCTATAAAAAGGTGAATTGGTAAATGCACAGGGTGGCTAACGTAAAACACCTGATTTGAAATTTGAATAACTTCCTTCAGTCTTAATTAAATTGGAAGATATTTTCACACAATGTAGGTGCATATGCTTGGGATTATATTCATCCAATTTTCAGACAAATCCACTCACTTTCAGCTCAGTTGTGCATCTCGACGTGACCCCATCGTTTTCAGTAACTTTCTTGAGGCGCTCGTGCAGGCATCGGTAGGATTGTGATTGCAGGATTGCAAAATCCTGATTGCATTCCTTTTTGGTGGATTGCACCTGGATTTGAAATCCATTCAAAAAACAGGATTTGATTGCGGATTGGATTGCATCATATTTCCAATTTTTGCAATCCAATCCGGATTGTGTTTGATAAGTGCTTTGAAATGGTTTGTTGCGATTGAAAATTATGAGATCGGCTTCATCGGCTTAATGTACTTTGCTATCAAGGGCTTTACATCGAAACTTGAAATAATTTAAACGCTTTTAATTTAAACGCTCAAAATAATATACGCTGATGAACTACATAGGAAGGGCAAAATTACGTATTTGAGGGCGAGTTTTAAAAATATGAAACACTGGTTGGGTAGAGGTTTAAATGTGGGGGTGTTTGACGCAAAAAATATTTCCCATAAAATACCTGTGCCTTAGATAGGAATTACTCGCAAGACTAGGTACTAGAAATGGGTGATTTGGGGATGGAGGCACGGCCATATGCCCCCCTCCCTCCCTAGACTAGGTACTAGAAATGGGTGATTTGGGGATGGAGGCACGGCCATATGCCACCCTCCCTCCCCCAGATCCACTAGTGCACATAATGATACAACAGGATTGCAAAAAAGGATTGCGGATTTGATCACAATCCAAGTGAAAAAGGGGGATTGCGGGTAGGAATGCAATCCACTTCGGCACAAGGAATGTGGATTGGGAATGCAATCCTTTCAAAAAGGATTTTCCCGATGCCTGTAGGTATGCCAGCGTAGGTATATTCCCTGCGCATCTCGACGGTGATCCCTGCAAAGACGGCGATCTAACCCGACCTTACAAGTTACAACTCCAGAATGCTCGCCGACCACGTCACGTACACCTTCGAGTTCATAAACCCCTATATTAAAAAATCACATGGGGTGAGGTCGGACTTTACTTAACCTGCCCTGGTTATACCCTGGTTACCGCGCTTGCCCAATCTGCTTTGCCGAATCTGCCCTGCCCCAGCCTATCGCGCACGGCCGACCTCACCCCGCGTGACTTTTTCATGTAGGGGTTTGTGGAGTCGAAGGTATACGTGACGTGGTCAGCGAACATTCTGGAGTTGTAAGGTCGGGCTAGAGCCGCCTTCCCAGGGATCACCGTCGATCAGATGCGCAGCTGCACGGAAGCCGCGCTGGCATTCCACGAGCGCCTCGAGAAAGTTACTGAAAACGATGGGGTCACGTCAAGATGCACAACTGAGCTGAAAGTGAATGGATTTGTTTGAAAATTGGATGAATAATCCCAAACAAGCACCTACATTGCGTGAAAATAGCTTCAATTTGAAAGCCTCACGTGAATTTTCATACGGCCTGTTACATATGCGCTATGTACCTATATTAGGTACATAGAAAGGTACATACAAAGATACCCAGATCCCCTATTACTTACTTCTCAGTTCTGATGACAATTTTTTGGGGGGTGAGCCTTTGCTTCATCTCACACCCTTGAATCCGGTTCCAAGGTGTGCAGGTGACTGACCAGTCTGCTCTTCCCCTCCTTTTGGTTCTCGTGGCGCTTCCTCTCCATCTCCTGCTGGCGGTGGGTCTCTCGGGTCTCTCTACGACGCTCACGGCGACGCTCAGCGTTCCGCAACGCTTCGGTCTCGCGCCGCGTCTGCGCTAGCCGTTTACGGCGACGGCGCTGGGCAACGGCGTTCGCATCCCGAGCCCTTTTGGCCCGCACGGCGAGGCATCTCCAAACGTTCTCACGCACACAAAGTAAACACACTTTAACTACAAAACACTGCATGATTAAAATGGCGGTAAAAAACAGCGGAATCTTTCTCGGGTAACACCGTTTCACCGATAACCTATCATATAAAGCAGCACAGAAGGACGCGAATTGTAAACAAAAATTTCACAAGCGGCAAATAAAACTGAGAAGATTTGCCCATTGTTGCTATTCATTCTTTATTATTCCTTAAGCATCCTCGGATTTAGGCGAGTTGTGTTCTTTAACACACTGGTTCCTCTGAATCAGGTGATTTATTGGTGAGTTACTGACAATGATGTTTCATGATCTCCCAGGCAGGAAAACCGCATAAGTTACCGCAAAACGCGGTATGCGGCATTCGAATAACCGTAAAAAATAATGCAGAAAATGCTTCTAAAATACAAATAGGTCAATAATAGGTCAATGATATAAAAGGCTAGTTATATCATAAAATACTAATAGGTCAAAGGTCAGGTCACCAGAGGTCATCAGAAGATCAAATTTTGCCATTTCTTTACAATGACAATTTCTTTACAATGGCTTTTTTGCCACAAATTTTGCCAAACCGGAGCAGAACTCGGGAGTCAATAAAGCCTGCAACGCCGCAGGAAAACGCATTCGATAGCTCTTTTCGAGTAGGTAGTAAAGTAATCTTGGCTCTTTAAACCCACAAGCCGCTATAGGGGGGGGGGGCATAAAGTTGCCTCGTATGTTTTGTGTGATATCCTCTATATTCAAAGGATGTCATTTGGTCCGTTATATTCAGTCTAATATATCGGATATATCGTAAGAAAATTCACCTAAAATTGGACTTTTGACGTCACTGATACGTCATTTCAAATGGTATCACTATCCATACCAAATTTGGACACAACCTCGGCTAGCTATTCAGGAATATGTGTGCAAACTTCTGAGTATATCAAGGCTTTGCTTTTCTATCTCTTCGCGTTACAATGATATTGCCGCAGAAACAGGGCAACTATATGCTTCCTCCCCCCTCCCCCCATTGCCCGGCGGGTGGGCGGTGGCGCAGAGGCCCAGCAGCCGCCGGGTTAACCCTTTTTCTGGAATGTGTCCTCAGCTCTGAACTAAATGAAGTCTCCAGACGGCAAAAATTATAAAATAGCTATCTTTATGAAAAATGTGTACTTTCATAACTTTTCTCTGAAACTCTGAAAGTTTCAAAGCGATCGTTCAGTCCGCTGTCGATGCAGCACTCCTTGCATAATAAAGCACAGTTAGTGTTTAACAACATATTCAAGATCAATAAAAAAGCCATTATAGGACCATTAAAAACCATTAGAACACCATTAGACCATCACAATTTTGAAACCATCATAAATGAAAAGATGCCATCAGAACACCAACAGAGACCATAAGAATACCCGTTTGGAGCCCAAAATCAAAACTATTGAAAACCATTAGGAAACCATTAGACCACCAAGTATACCATTTGAAACCATTAGCGACCATCAGAAACCATAACAATACCATAAGAGACCATTAGACCATTAGACCATCAGATCAAATTCCATTAGAAACCATCAAGCACCATTGGAGACCATTAGAAACCATTAGAGACCATTAGAGCACCATCAATTTCCATTAGAAAACCATCAGAAACCATTAGACCATTAGACCATCAGATCAAATTCCATTAGAAACCATCGAACACCATTGGAGACCATTAGAAACCATTAGGACACCATTAGAGACCATTAGAGCACCATCAATTTCCATTAGAAAACCATCAGAAACCATTAGAATACCATAAGAGACCATCAAAAACCATTAGAGACCATTCAAGACCATTAGAAACCATTAGAAAATCCTAATGGTTTCTAATGGTTTTTTCTCTAGGGTGGATCCGCCACTGCAAAAGTATGATGAATGTTATGATTTTTTTGCTTTACACTTTCATGTTACATGTTAAGATTTTTTGGAACACTTTCAATATGATTCACTTAGTATGCTTAAGAAGTGTGAAGTGATAAACTTTCATATCATGCTCACTGTCTCAGTCTCAGCGGAATAATATGTTCTTAAGAGCACTTTCAATGTTTTTAGCATCTGGATTTCAAAAAAGATGTCCTAATTTATTGATATCTTCACTTTCTTGATATATCTCAATTATCTGCTTCTGTTTGATACATATTTTGTTCATTTTCATGTGTTTTAGGCTGATTCTTAACTTTCCAATGTTGGGGTTGTAGTTTTGCCATTGGGGTTGTACTTTTAAAAGTTGGGGTTGTAGCTACACCCCCCACAGTATATAAAGTTCCGCATGTGCCTACATACAGTTGGGTGGTCCGGTGCCAGGTGTCCCTTTATTTATTTATATACACTGTGCCTTTATTCACCTCCTGCTGGACAAAAGTCCATAACATATTGATAGAATTAGGATGACAACTATTTCCAAGCCGTAGCCCGTTCGTCCAGAAGGATAAGAGCTTTTCCCGGCGTCACTTGTCCTTCTCCTACGGACTTGGTATATGTAGCGCTCCAGCCTGCACGAAGGCAGCGTGGTTTGATTCGGCCCCCAGTCAATGGCATTGGTAGCTTCACGCTCTGGTGACGTAAGCAGAGCGTGAAGGTTTTTTTATTTTCCCTTCACTAGTGCTTTACCTATGGGAGATACCGATTTCGAAGGCAAAACTAAAAGTCGATTTATTAACTTATTAGTCGAGATACGTATAAACTGAGTGTACCATACGACAGCCTGATCTTTCTTCTATCGATACCCGCATCCACTTTGGCGATGGTACATACATAAAACGCTGAAATTTGGCGATAGGCGGGAAGGTGCAATCCTAAACGGTATCATTCAATTACATCTTGATGGTTGCTTTTTCGAATGCTCGGAACATACCGAGTAGTGATGAACCTGACCTTTGATTCAAGCCGGATCTTGCAATACCAGCAGCTTTTTCAGGTCAGGTCAGGTCACTGACCTTTGACGTCATAAGTGAACCTCTGCACGGTCCTCAGATACCGCAAGTTCGCAACGCCCTCAGTGTCAGAGCAGATTTCACAAGGAGATGAAACTTGCAGGACCTAGTATCCTCCAGAAGTCTCACAACGTGTATATCTCGCTTTTTTATTCAAGGTCACATGAGGTCAGGCCGGTCATATGAAGTCACCATTATAAGCCAATGGGGGAAACTTATAAACAGCTATTTTGGAGCCCAGAACGATCTCAGACTAGCTGTAACACACGCAACCGTGATTATTTCATGCACTCTTTACAAGGTTCGATGCTTCATTTTTGCACCAAGAGCTTGCATGACGTCATTGATGACGTCACTAGTGTCATAAGTTTTTCGACAATAACTTCTGATCAAATTGAGCTAGCGAGTCGGGAAAGCCACCAATAGACTCGGGAAGACCTGCCAAATCGAATGACATGTGACATGACCTTCGACCAAGTTCGTGCCCTTGGGATCTCTGACCTCACCGTGACCCGAGGTCAACACCCAAAGTTGGCCTCACCCAAATGAAAAAAGAATACCATTCGACGCGCCTGAGCAGGGCGAATACGATGCAGTCAAAATCGCGGCCCTGCAATCATTTTTTGTGAAGTTATTCGCCAAAACCGAACCCGTACCTTGGGCCACTTACCTGACCTCAGAGGTCACCGGTTGACCTGAGACCTTAAAATCGGGTACAAAACGCTGCATCTCGTAACGACACACACGCTCGTCTTTTCTGCGACGTTCTAGCTCCATTAGGGGCGAAACGGCGAGATGGGGTCGTACCTCCCGTCCCCCCCCACACCCCGGCCCCCGGCCGGCGCGTATGTAGAAAACCAATAAGTCCGGCGAGGGTTAAGCGGGTTCCACTGTGCACAAACAGCTAAGGGTTGTGCATTTAGTATGGTCATGAGAGAATCCTGTTTGATTTGGGCTCATAATACAATGCATGATCACTTCTTGTTCATAAGTTTAATTGATTTTCTTCTTCCCAAAAACAAACAATAAATGCTCTTCTCCATATTCCCCTTCACTCAACAACTTTTGATCACTTTTCCCTAAAGGCCTAAGGTAATGCATTGGTAAAAACACAAATGGATGGCTCATCTCAATAGTCAATACTTCTGTCTCCTAATGATCCTAATGTCTTTGATCATGGTGGCAATGCAATGTGATGATGACAGCATTCCATTTATCACCACTGAAACACAACTTAGCTCAAAAACACTCATATACATAAATTTATTTATCTCCATTTGTGCAAAATTAACTTATCACATTCTTTGACTATTGCTTCAGAAAGACATCAGACCATAAGATTGTGTGAAACAAGAAAAGATTATCAGGCAATAGAGTTGATATATGTGTAGATGAAGTCCAGATTGTAGACTTGAGTTTGGTAGGTTGTAGGAGTTAGGCTGTAGGTTTTAGGCTGGTGGGTTCGTAGGTAGTATATTGGTAGGTTGAAAGCTTTGAGTTAGAAGGTAAGGCTAGGTCAGGTTAGATGTTCAAAATCTTCACTGGACTTCATCTTCACATTTACCACAGAGTTGACACTTGACAAGCTGTGCCAGCAACTAAGTATTCCGCACTAGCACGCACATAGGCTGGAAATGTGCACAATCACATGAAAAAAGGCTGCAAGTTTGGGAACTCTGCACTTATATGGAAACTACACTAATATTCAATGATGTCTCATTTGCCTTCTGAAAATTTCTTAGATAGCATTGCATCAACACTCAACAGTGTCAGCTCATATCACAGCACAGCCATTCGGCATGGCATTTACCACATCATGGCACGCATTGTGCACTGATTCACACAAAATTCACACCACAATTAATCTGCAATGCATTGTGCATTGGCTAAATGCCTCTGCCTGCACATACATCTTGCTGAACTGGCATTCTTAGCAATATAATGTTGCAGCCGCAGGCATTGTAAGCATCAGAAGAGAGCCTGATGTTCTGGAGATTAACGGAGCAGTTTGAACATGCTTGCAAATCTGATGTTATTCATAGGTCTAAGCCTGACTTCGAGGAACTTTGAAGAATAATTTGAAACCAGTTGCAATACCGTTATTCCTGCCGTTTCAGTTTCACTTTTCAGCGAGGTTGTGCAGGGCCATAACAAGGCCTTCTTCACTTCAAATAATAATTGCCATTGCAAATCAGAGGCAGAACTGAATACCACAATTATTGAAGAAAATTCTAAAAGTAAAAATGACTGCGACGAAAAAGTACTGACGGCAGGAGACGCGATTTCAATAATAGAAATAGCATATCACGCAAAGCTACCTATACTGTAATTTGTTTACCTCGGCCGCCGAAAACACGTGTTTTTTTTCGACCGACTGCATTCGCCGACTCGCGGCCCCAGATGACGTAATCAACAAATAATTGGCCAATAGAGATAATAAAAAATGATTGTTGGAGCAATATAAGAAAACACAGGTAACACAATATAATTTTGTTATTTAATAATGTCAAAAATTCGTCTTAACGACCTTAGATGGGGACTTTTTACTTTATGACGTCATGTGTGCCAACAGTTTTCAAGAGTACGTATAACAGTGGAATAAACCAATCTCTATTTGTAACTTGTTCGCCATTTCTGTCGACATTTGACTGCTACCATATCCCAAACTCTGACTGTACCCGGTGTTCTATATACTCTGGTTTGATTAAAATATCAGTGCGCTTTTAGAAACCGAGCCCCCGTGCCGTCCGGTTGAGCGGCTCCAACTATTTGGCAGGATGTTGCTCCGGTAATGCTCGTCATTGATGGTGGTCTTCTGTGACACAATGCACAGCTGAAACACCCCACAGCAGCTGAATATGCTCTAGATCTGGATCTTTGCCGGGTGTTTGACGCCGGTGACGGCCGGGGCGTTTGAGTTACTGGCAGCCAACACAAGGCCACTTTGATGGTTCAAAGGACAATACAGCGCGAATAGCTACACATTCCACCAGCCCACCTAGCTCATGTCTTCCTTCGACCAGCTGGATGCGTCTTGGCGTCACTGGCGGATCCAGGCTTGCGTTTTGGGGGGGGCCAACTCATGCAGGAGCCAAACCTAGGGTACCCCCAAATCCTGTTTTCTCATCGGATTTAGGCCACTTATTTTTCGTCACAGCCCTGACACTACCCAGCTAACAGGAAACGTTACTACAACGTTGTCACAACGTCGTGTTTCGGTAAGTTGCGAAATTACGTTTTAATTACGTTGTAGCAACGTTCTGAACGTTGTGAAGCCATGGTTTGGTCCGAAAGTCGTGGTAAAACGTCGTGACAACGTTTTATTGGTACGTTGCAGCAACCGCGCACTTGCAGCATTATATTTTGATAATGCATGGTGACATATATGGCCATATAATGCATTTCCTTTGACTTTCAATGCGCATATTCAGTTTTCATCGTTAAATTTGACATATTTTAACACTTGGACTGTTCACGTTGTCAGCTGGTGGTCGCCAACACGTTGTTAAAACGGTTTTTCACAACCTTGACATTATAGGTACTGAATAATT